ATGAAATGGAACCCACGACACGGACAGTGCTTCTGGTCCTCTGTCCTCACCTGTCACTGTCAGCTGATGGGCGGCGGCACTACGAAGCCACCCAGCGTGCGGGCCTTGTGTGAAGCCCCAAACATAAAAGCTGTCCCAGCAGGGCCTGCAGTGGGCAATACAGGCCAGAGGGTGTCACAGCAGCAGCCACTAAGGACACATGACAAGGACGAGGCCACCAAACTGTGCCATTAAAACACACATGGGCCTCCCTCGACGGGGCTTATCACTCTGCTGGCTCAGTGGGACCTAAACTCAGGTGTCACCTGTTTCCTCTCTCATCTCAGCGCTCACACTGTTACAAATGTGACTCAACAGGATGCCACAGCCTGAAGGAAGCCTCGAAGGAACAGCCAAGGCCACCACGGGGACATCACAAATGAAAACTGATGCTGCGGGGCAGAGAGAAATCGGGCCTTGCTGGTGACCACCACGGGCCACCTGAGTCTCCACCTGGGGAAAGCCGCACCTCATCTCCACCCAGCGTCGCACAAAGAGCAGCGTCACATGGACCATGCTGCTAGGTGGTCAGGTCTCCAGAGGGGCATGGGAGACCAACCTCCCAAGTGGGGGCGCACAGCTCTTCAGCAGAAGCGAAGTCACAAAGTGACAGGATTAAAAGGCAGGGGCTGAAAGGCTGCCCATTAGATGGAAGAGGCAAACAACCTCAATACCATATCCATCACCATGGGACCCGGGCCCAGGATGCAACAATGAGAAAAAGAACAGAAAATTCAACTAAGAAACTCAGACAACCCAAGTGTAAAAACCGGCCAAAGGACTTGAACGCCAGAGACCAGAGGCTGAAGAGCTCACCAGCGTACCCAAGAACTGATTTCCTTAGCTGTCAGAGCAGCCGCTTCACATCCACGGACTCGTGGAACCACCAACGCTCCAGGGACACGGGAGGGGGAGAGTGACGGGGAGCAACAGTGCCAGGTGCCGGGTGCCGGTGGCGGGGGCAGGGGACACCCACGCATGGGCGGCAACTGCTCTGCGGACTAGGGTAGAGTCATGGGGAACAGAGACCTGGCCAGGGAGCAGGCAGTGTTTCCTGTGTCCAGGGGTTCTGCCGCCACGTGCCCTAAAGAAACACATGCTCTGAAAGACTGTCCCCTGGACAGCATCCCCAATAGCCAAAACTCACAGGGGCCCAAACGTGCATTGATAAACCGCCTGTGATGCAGTTGCGCAGTGCAATCCCAGCCAGCACCAGGAGGGGCCGGACGACCACAGAAGCCAAACCCAGGATGTGTGTGGGGATGCCGTGTACATGGAGCACGGGGCCGGTGACACTGCACAGTGTTGGAGTCAGGAGAAAGGCTGCTCCCCAATGGGGGTGGGCCCTAGGGCGGGAGCTGTGTGACCGGGCAAACTCCTGAGCCTCTCTGTGCTCACATGCAGTCCACACTAGGGTCCCGGGAAGGGAGGCTCCATCAGTGAGTCCTGGCGCTCAGGGGACCCTTCTGAGTGTCGCCCTTCTATCAGGCACATGCAGATGATGGGTTGTGACCGGATAGCCAGGGGCAGGGGTCAGGACACAGAGCAGACAGCACACGGACAGCAGATCCCGGGCCACTGGGAGGCAGACCGGGGTGCAGAGGTCACGGGCAGAAGAGGTCTGGCCAGGGAGCAGAAGCGGAAGGGCTCAGCGGGACAGGGCGCCTGCCCAGCGCTTCACCAGCACAACTGCTCTCCAAGATTGCGTCTCCAGGGAAGGCACAGGCACGGAAAGGGGAGGCCGCAGCCGCAGATCTCACAGCCAGACACGGCAGAGCTGCCCTGGGCTGCCCCGTGGGTCTAGTGACAGCACCCCATGCCCTCGACCCCTCGACACGTCTGATGTCGCACGGCACACAGGTGTCCCTGTGCGCATAGTCCTGCCATGAGGTCAGCCCAGAAAGTGTGGGGACATGGGGCTCCTGGGTGTGAAGCTGGCAGAGGGGTGGGGGACCCTGAGCTGTGTGTGACCCCAGTCAGCTGAGTCCCAGAGTGGCCCTGCCTGGAGCACAGGCAGGCGGGAGACGACAGGGGAAGGTGGGCGCTCAAAATGAGGAACAAGAGCTCCATCCACACCCAGTGGCGCTGGGGAGCAGCTGCTGGGGGATGCGCCCGCCTGCCTGATGGTCAGACACTGGGCTGGGCAGGGCCCAGGGGCACATTCCTGTACACCCAGCGGGAGGATGAAGCAGAGGACAAGTTTGAGCCCTGCTTAGGCGACTTAACAAGACCCCTCTACTAACAAAATGCAACAGTGAGGGGTATCTATGGAAAACAAAAAACTAAGAGCTATGAAGAACTCAGGATGCATGTGTGCTTTGCACACGGGAGCACCATTCACCCACCCAGCCCCAGCACGGGGCAAGCCACGTAACCACACCCAGGGGCTGCATGGCTGCAAACACGCCCTATGGATCACGGTGGGGGGCAGGACTTGGCACCAGTGGGAGGCATTGAGGATGCGGTCCCTGCAGAACGCGCACGCACGGTGCTCCTGGCTCCTGCGGGTCACCACAGTCTTGGTGGGAGGCTGGACCTTCCAGGAAGGAACCAGAAATGCCCCTAGGGCTGGGACTCCGCGCCCCCCAGCCACAGTCTTTCTAGGACACGGCCCTTCACCTGTGTTCCCAGTGTCCTGGAAGGGCCTGGGTCCCTGACACGGGCTGGCATAGAGGTCATACTCTCCGTGCCAGAGTTCCTCTCCTCTGATAGCACCCCTTGGATCTGGGTGGTAGAGGATGTATCTGAGCCCTGCCGTGGGGGACACCAAGTGAATCCCCCACACCAGCTCAGCTGTGTGGTCCCAGCCAGGATGCCACGCTGCCCTGAGGCTCGTTTCCTCATAGGGTGAAAGAGACAGCACTGTCTGTCTATACAGGGCCACGTGGGTGCACACTTGAGAGCCCAGCACACCCGAGAGCCTGCAGGGGCTGCACACTTACTACACTGGGCGTCACAGACCCACAAAACCTGTCTGACACTATGCAACAGACCGGGTACCCCAAACCCTGAGCTTTCCCCCGCAGGTGACCTTTGCTGGACAGTGGCTTTGTCTGAGTTTGTCTGTGGCGTCCCTAGAACAGCTCTGGTTTCTGAGCAGGCTCACAGCGACCCCTGCTGCCCACCATGAGAACTGCCCCACAGGGCCAGCAGGAAGAACAACAAAAGCCAGGTAGTCTCTGGAGAAGGGCTGGCCCTCCAGGGTCTGGGAGGATGCCTGTCAGAGCCCGGCAGGGAGAAGCATCGCCAACGCGCATGTAACTAAGCTCAGACACTAATTCCCTGTCTCCTACAGATAACTTTAATACTCAGATCACACAGAGTGCCTTCCCTTCCCCGAGTTCTTTTGTTTCCCTGGATAAGTGTCTCCTAAAAAGACTGTGGAACCCAGAGAAACTGTCATTTCTGAGGGACATTATTTCCTGATCAACATGCAATGTCCTTGGCTGGTTCTGATCCAGCAGCTCTTAAATTGTACTCTCTAAAAAGCAGTGGCAGGTTAAAACGGGCAGACGCACCCCACACACACCTCGCTGGGATGAGAATTCAGAACCCCTCTGCCTGATCTACTCAGGTTCAGGCAATGACAGTGTCCCCGGCCTGTGACCCTGTCCCTGAGGCTGGAGCCACCAGGTGGGACATCAGGATCCTAGCTGAGCCACCTCTGCATCAGCTCCCCGGACACATCCGTGAGCGCCTAGCACCAGTGTGTGCCCTGCAGCAGCCAGAAGGAGGACGACTAGGACCCTGAAGCAAAGGCCCCAAATGGTTTCCACCCTCTAAACCACACAGGGAGGACGAAGACGACAAATTTTGCACATCGACAGTGCTTTCCGGTCTCTGGAACTTGGGACTCCATTCCCACCTGCAGTTTCCCAGCAAGATGGCAACCAGTGACTTCACCAGGGACTTAACACTGTTGCTCATCACCACAAACTGTGACGAGCAGAAGCTGAACCACTGCACCCTGGAATGGAGGACCCTAAAGGGTCAGCCTCGTGGAGATGCAGCTCCCCCGAGCGCGCTCACACCCAGCCAGGCCTCACATCTCGGACTGCTGCTACTCTGCAGGTGACAGGTTTTCTCTGCCCACCGCACACACACTGGCTTCAAGCCTTTCCTTCTGCTGCTCGCCAGAAAGCACCTTGCTCGGGCTCAGAGCTGATGACAGCTAATGCTCTGAAGAACTAAAATATAATGTGCAGCACGGGAATCACAAGCAAGGGACAGCATTTGTTTCTGAGGAATGAATTACCTGCTGATGAGCTCTGAGAGCCCAGACTGCTGGTTTGTCTCTCAAAACAGGAGAAGAACGGGTCTTGCTGAACCTGGATTCCTGCCTGGCATGGCAGCTGGCTGAGCAGAGGCCCCCCAGCAAAAGCAGCAGGTGCTGTGGGTGTGGGAGGAAACGTCCACTGTCCTGCCTGGCCCTGAGAGGCAGCTGAGTTCTTCGCCTCTGTGCTAGCAGGTAACTCATCTTCTCAGAGGGAGCTTTCAATAGAGAGCTCCTGAGATCAGGGGTCCCCTCCACACTGGCCAGGAGGCTCGGGGGAGCTGCTATCCAGACACCAGGGTCTGACTGTACCTGTGACCATGGGAGTCCAACTCTGAGCCCAAGCACAGGGATGCTTGCAAAAGTCAACAGGTGACCTCAAGGTGCCCAAGGTGGAGCACCACTTGCTTCAACCACAGATGGCGGACATTTCGAGCAGACCCCAGGGGCAGCTGAGCTTCACCGCTGAGGCTCCGGCCCCTCCTGCGGCAGGTGGAGGGGCAGAGAGGCCTGACTGGATCTGCTTTTCTGCCCAAAGTGCACAGAGGTGAAGCGAGAGAAATCCAAGGCAGCTGAAGATCACCTCTGAAAAGCCTCTGTGGTGGCCTGCAGTGGGAGCTGCCAGCCCCAGGCTACCATCCCCAGATGCCACCGCTCGCCGGCGCCATACACAGAGAGCGTGTCTCACCTGAACAGCTCTCGGATCTCGCGGAGGTCGGCTTGGAAGGGGATGTTCCGCACCAGGATCTTGGAGGTCGTCTGCTTCCTCGGAACTTGCTTCTTCCAGGAAGACGTCATGGCTGGCCTGGAGCGGGAGGGAAAGGGGCTTAGGTTCCTGGAGGTGCCAATGGCCCCCGCCCTACACTGTCTTCTCCCTAGCAGAATGGATGCTCCTGTCCACGTTCAGGTGATGGACCACGCAGCATGTGTGGAAGAGGCCATGGTGTAACAGGAGAAAGGCAGTGTCCCCCCATCCCAGGGAACACGGACTGTAACTGTCCCCCTACAAAGCCATGCTGTGTGCCTGACACATCCCTGCTGTTGCCCCCAGAAATGACCTGGATTGAGGAGTGACAGCTCCCCACATAACCCAATCTCCCCAATTCCTTCTCTGCAGATACAAAGGAAGACTGTGTGAGTCCCAAAGGCCTAGTCTGTGACACTTTGTTCCACAGGAGGACCCCACAGAGGCCTGGGCTGAGATGGGACGGCAGGAAACCGCCCAGCTGAGGCTGCCAGGCCGTCCCTCACACTCCCCTGGGTCACATCCCGCTGTTCCAAGCAGAGCAGAGTAGCGAGCAGAGCTGTGTAATACCAAGTAAGGTGCGAGTGCCACGCCAGGCCCCCCATCTGCATCGCCTCAGGCAAGGGACTGTGTCTCTGTGCTGGATTTCTCAGACACCGGCGCTGCATCTATGGGTGTGGAGCTGTCAACGGCCGCTGCGGTGACAACGATGACTGTCCTGACTCCTTCCTGCTCTGTCACCTCCTCAGAGACCTCCACTGACACAGCAGCCCCAGCACACACCCCGCCCTGGTCCCCTTCCTGGCACGCACGCTGACCTGATGGCTCCCCACGCCTCAACTGCGCTTCCCTGTTCCAGGTGTCCTGTCACTCGAGGGCAGTGCTGTCCACACAGCAGCCACATACGGCTCCCTCAGTCAGAATTAAGGTGAAACACCACGAAGACCCCACTCCCCAGGGCTGGGCACCCCTGAGTGGTCCCCAACGACCCTGCCTCCTGGTCCTCCTGACCTCCAAGGCCCTGGGCAACTGAAGCCACCGTGTGAGACTCAGGACGTGGCTCTTGCAAGACACTGCTCCTGCTCCTTGCTCCCTCCTGGATCCCTTGTGCTGGAGAAGCCAGCACTGTGTCACCAGGACACTGAGCAGGCCCAGGATGAGCCCAGAGTGAGGCACAGGACAGGCCAACACAGAGACGCCCTTGACCCTCCCAGAGGCTGAACTCCCCTCCCCCCACCATGGGGCTGCTCCTGGAATCCGGCCACGGAACCAGCAAGGACGCGGACTTTTACTATCATGACTGCGAGTCTGGCATCGTTCGCTGGGCAGCAGAAGGTAATAAGTACTGTGGCATGTGCCACCTCACGGATGGCACTGGTGGGGAACATTTCTGGCACCATGGAAGGCTCTGTTCAAGAGTTCTGTCCTGGGATGTGAATGCCACCAGCAACTGCCACCATGAGCCCAGGAAGAGTCTAGGGTCTTGTATTTCCCATGTCCATTTCCTGAATGTGGACACGACATCATGGACGCTGGTGCTATGGTTTATATCCAGATCCCCTCCTAACTCTCTTGGACTCAGAGGCAGCAGCTTGGGAAGGTGGCTGGACTATGGAATAGCAAGTGGCTACTCCTCCGCCACGGCCCTGTGCCATCTGTCCCGCCTCGGAGTCAGCTGACCACACAAGGACTCAGATCACTGAACCAAGAGCTAAAATCAATGCCTCCTTTAAGTTGCAGGTGTCAAGGGTCGGGTCTCAGTGACAGAAAGGGCCTGAGACAATTGGTCGGGAAGCAGGAGCAGGCAAGGCTGGCTCTGGGCTGCTCTGTAAAGGGACACGGGAAAGGGAGACAGGCACCCCGGCAGAGTGCCCAGGGCATGGCACAAGCTACATGCTATATACATAGTGCCAGGAGCCACACTTACTCCACAGGTTGGGTCGCCTGCCCGAGGTCACTTGGCCCCTGGATTAGGACCAGGAACCCCTGCTGGGCCCCAGAGGGCCCAACCCGAGTCTTCTTTCCACTCAGGACACTTAGCACAGCAGACTGGGGAGGACGAGAACACCCTGAGCCGTCTCCACACGCAGCTAAGGACGGCGAGGAGGAAACGGCAGCGCCTGGGCAGGGACTGGCAGCAAATCTGCTCCAAGGTCACAGCAAACGGCCAGCTCGCTGGAAATGACCCAATAAATACATAAACCAGCTCCAGGACTGCTGGAGCGGTCACTGCAGCCCCCAGGCGGGGAGAGGACAATGCAGCGGTTACTGTCGGGAGCCCCGAGCTCGGGGGTCACTCAGATGACACAGGTGGAGACCAGGAGCAGAGCCAGACTCTGAGACATGGCGCTCTGCAGGAGGTGGTCACCGGGCGGACTGGCCTGCGATGTCTCTAGCTGCGTCTGCCCACCGACGCACACTGTTGCCAGGCGCTGCCGCCCAGCTCTCAGAAGACAGCCCCAGAAAACCCACTGTGCAGAGGTAACGGCCCTTAGGGGTCTTCTGAAGCAGCAGCCACGCCCAGCTCGTTTAGGGTTTATTTCTGCTACCGAGGTGAGTGGTGGGTGCGTGTTTCTCCTGCTTCTTCCTTTCATTATAAACAGGGTGTGCAGAGAATCCAACCCAGCTATTCCCCTCCTAGGAATCTTCCTCAAAAGGTAATCATCGTACTACAGGACACGCGTGCACTCACATTTACAGCAGCTCAATTCAGAGGAGCCAAGTTTGGAAGTAGCCCATATACGCACCAACAGACTATTGGCTAAAGAAAACAGTATTTATACACAGTGGGGTACTACTCGGTCACAAAGAAGGATAGAATTGTCACCTGTAGGAAGACACATGCACTTCAGGTCCGTAATGTTAAATGAAATAAATCAGACGCACAGGCTTACACATCACACCATTTCTCTCATATGAGAGACGCAAAGCGTAAGTGAAGAGTAAAATAAAAAGATGGTAGGAAATACAGGCACAGATCCTTCCCAAAAGGGAAGGGGACTGAGAGACGGGAAGGAGGTGGGAAAACGACCATGTGTTATGTCCAGGCACCACCTCCCCACAGGGATGCAAACATTACGTACTAAGAACGTGTACTAATAAAACCTTTAAAAAGCAAAGAAAAAATCCATGCAGAGGAATAGCACGGTGCCAGCTCAGGAAGGACATGGGGTCAGCGCTGGCAGAGGCCCTCAGTGAGGGAGAATCCTAAATAAGTGACGAGCACCGTGCGGAAAGGACATTCCAGGGCCCTGAGACACCACGCCGGGTGGCCAGCACCAGCACAGCGGGAATTAGTGCTGCCTGTGGGCAGCGGGGGCTGCGGTAGACTTACTTGGTGGCTCGTTCTGAGATCCGCACTTCCACCTTATGGCCGTCCACGACGTGACCCTAAGAAGTAAGACAGCGCGGCTTGTCCCTGTCCTCAGCTCTCCAGCACTCCTGACCTCCACAGGCAGCTCAAGGCCCGGAAAGGGAAAGGGCTGGCAGGCAGAGGGCAGAGACCTGGCCTCCCCTCGTCCTCTGACCCAATGTGCCCTGGACTTGGTGTCATTCAGGGGCACCGAGTTCCCTGTCAGTTACAAGTATTGTGAGGGTTAAGGGCCTCTCGGGTCTGGCATGCAGAGTCTGGTTTAATTTGCAGACACCAGGTCCCATCTGCCCCTGTGCGGGCGGGCAGGGGGACGTTTCTCATCCCTACCTCAGAGGCCCTGCCACAGGTCCTCAGCGTGTGCTGGCCCACCCCCACCCCCTGCTCAGTGCGTCAGGGGCTTGAGAAGGGTGAAAGTTTGGCCCCAACAACATGGGCTCAGATATCGCCACACCCCCGAGGCAAGCCCTGAAACCTCCTTCACCTGGAGCTGCCTGAGGGCTTTCTGCGCATGTTCTGGCTTCTTGTACTCCACAAATCCAAAGCCCATGGACAGCAGTGCGCCTGGGAGAGAGAAAGAAACCCCCCAGCGGGTGGCAGGAGGGGTGTGGATGAGCTTGGGACCACACTCGAGGCTCCCCTGGGCCCAGGGTCTGAATGACCTCCCCTTCTCTTTGCACCCTCTTCCACCCCAAGAAGACTTCAGCAGCAGCTCCCCGTTTATGGCTGTGGCCAGCTACCCAGGGCACTCCTGGTGTCCGCAGGACTCGGCCAATGAGGTGCTCTCCACGGCTGCCACCCGGGGCTCACTGACCAGACCACTGGCACGATAATTAACTTGTAACAGGGTCCTGCTTCTTGGAGGGAGGGCAGCGAACAGTGATGACCCCCACTGTGATAAGTGGGGATGTCTCCACTTGGCTGCCTGCTGCCACACCTAAGACACTCGGTAAACACACGCACCGAAACCCAGGCTTCCCCTGTGCAAGTGTTCCTCCCACTGGCCACAGTGATGGTGTTTGTCTTTCTTCCTCCTCATTCTTGGTATTTGAGACAGTCTCGCTATGTGGCTCAGGCTGACCTTGAACAGCGTGTAGCCCACGCTGGCCTCGAACTCACGGGACCCTCCTGCCTCAGCTGGGATCACAGGCGTGTGCCACCATGCCCAGCTCACGCTCCCTTTCTGAATCTCAGACGCTTCCTGCTTCCCCTGCTGCTGACCAGACGCTGTGTATGTGTATGCGTGCATGTGTGCATCTGTGCCTGTACGTGTGTGTCGGGGGCCTGAGGGGCACTGAACACAAATCTGTCACTGTATCTCCTCCCTCAGACGTGAAATTTTGTACATCCTCATCCATCTCTGGCCCAGCACTTTTGTCTGTGTTTTTTGGAACCAGGCATTGAACCTATAACATCCCGCTTGCCAGGCAGGTGCTCTGCCGCTGGCCTGCATATCCAGCTGGCCAGGCATTTTTACAGTTGTGCGACATCAGTTTTCCCAGCACCGCCCTGAGGTTTCAGGCACTCTACCTGCTTTGCTCTTCTTCTTGGAGATGGAGCAGCTCCTCAGCGCCCCGGCTTTGGAAAACACCTGGGGAAGGAGTTCACAGCAATCACCCTCTTCTCCAGGTGAACCTGTGGCCCACCTGGGTGCGGGGGAGGTCGGGATCACAGCAGCTCACTGCAGCGGCCAGGCCCACACTGGGGCCCTGTAACTCCCTCAGAGGCCGGGGGAGGCTCCGTGATGAAGTCTCATTTTCCCATGCAAAGACTGAGGCTAGGGGTTCAGAGATGGCCCCCACCTAGGACTACAGGCCCGGAAGTGCTGGGCTGAGACTGGGACTCGGGTACCAGGGGTGCTGACCCCAGGCTCCAACACTAGGCAGGCGAGGAAGACTGCACCCCCAAATTTGCCACCCTGAGATCCTGGGGGTGGCAAGACTGGAGGAGACGGGATGCCTGCTTTCAGTGACCAGACGGCCCCTAGGGGCTGCTGGGCAGGTTTCCTGCCTGGCTATAGAGAGTGGGCAGGGCCTGGAGCAGTCACCACTGCCGTAGACCAGGCCAGAGGAAGGCGTGAGCAGGTGCGGTGCCCAGCGGCCCAGGCCTGGCCTCTCATTGCCCCTGCACTTAAACCCCAAAGGGTGTTTAAAATCCTTAATTTAAGTCACATTACACTTCTTCTCTTTCCCTTTTCTATCTCTCTTGCTTGAGCCCAGCCAGAGTGAAACCCACTGGGACCTGGTTCTGGCACCAAACACACACGGTCCAGGGAATAGGGATCGGAGTCCTCATACACACAATCCATGCAGCAGCCAGGGTGGCTAGAGCCAGACATGGGACCTGGATGACCTCATCACCCTATCAGACCTCTGACAGCCCTGTGAGACCACTGCACTCGCATCTCCACATGACAGATGGGGAAACCGAGGCACAGGAAGGACTTGCTAGGGGCACAGAGTTAGGAAGGAGCGAAGCTGGAAGCCAGGCCCAGGCAGATGGATGCCAGTCATGGCACCACACTCAGACTGCAGCTGGGCAGCAGTCCTGGACTGTCAATGGGCTGTGTGTGACCTCAGGACAATGACACGACCTTCTGCAGCTCTGTCTCCAGGAGCACAGGGGGAAGAAACTGGGCCAGATCCTGCAGGCTGCGCCTCCAGCTCGAGAGCCTTTCATTCCCAGGATGCTCTGGGGCTGAGGTTGGAGCACATCTTCCAGAAAACACCAGTCCCCCCACTGAGGCCCCACCCCACACCCACGCTCCTCCTCCTCTCCCAAGATCCCACTCACTTTCTTCAGTGTCTCCTCTGTGGTGTCGAAGTTTAGGTTTTTAATGAACAGAGTACACCCTGGAAGGCTCTCCTCCTCCTCCTCCTCTTCCTCCTCTTCCTCTCCTCCTCCTTCTGTCCTGGTGGTGGGTGCTGCTGTTCCTTCCTCTGCAGGCTTTTCAGTTTCTGGGGTCTCCATGTCAGCTGTTGGCCCCCCAACAAAAACAAACAAACCCATTCTTTAAATGATGTCTTACCTGCCAAGGCCTAAAGGCTTATGGCACAGAATCTTCTAGATCAAATCTGCGCTACAGGTACTGCAGGCAGGGGTTGAGCTCCGTTTTGGCAGCGAGATGGCAAAGGAGAGAGGGAAGTGGGGGGAGGTGAAGAGAAAGAGAGGGCACCCACAGGAGGCCCAAGACAGCGTCCTGCCAGGCCCCCGTTTTGAAGAGAACAGGGTACAAAACACAGAGCCATCATTGTGGGTCCCTCATGGGATGAGGCCATACTCATGTCAACTTCAGAGCCACCATGCTGTCCTCAGCAGGGCTGCTTCTGAAGGACATTTAATAACATCAAGCAGAGTCCACCACATAAACGCTCAGAACTAAAGGCGCACAGCCTGACTGCAGTCACGGTCCCCAGTGTTTCTGAGGGAACCTGTGCGTGTGCACAGACACACAGCAGGGACAACGGGAGGTGCAGGAAGACTCCGCCGATCCCTGCAGAGCTCCGGTCCAGGCGGCCTTCGCCCCACCCTTGCACACCACTTCTGCTTTGAAAGGTGAGCACTTCAGGAAACCCTGTGCCTTAGCGAGGGGCATGTGTGCACTTGTGTGTGTCGGGGATGGGCAGGTGTGCGTGTCTGTGCACACGTGTGTGCAGATGCAGTGTGGCAGGGGCACCAGGCAGAGCCTCGGCATCAGAGTCGGCCAAGGTGCTGAGTGAGGACCTCTTCCCTGGTGACGGCGACGGAGGCCTGAGAAGGCTGTGGACGGGGCAGCACCGTGACCCCTCCAGAGGCCCTTCAAGGAAAGGTGCTCAGTTCCATTCCTCCTCCCCATGTTCCCCAAGTCACAGGATCGGGGGCCCAGGGACGAATCCTCTCTGCTACCCCCCAGGAATTAGCTTGTCTTTGTGCTTCTTTCGAGCAGCTTTGACTGCACGCTCATCCCTGATCCCCCTTCTTTTGGACCAGGTGCCCACCTGGCTCCCCCAAGACTTACATCCTGCACTCTGTGGGGGCAGAAGCTGCTGCAGGTCATGAGACCAGAAGCTGGCGGAGACAAGCTGCTTCTCCTCACTCCCCTTCGCCTCAACAGTTCCAACTTCTCCGAAAGGGCTTCCTACACCCTCTATCCAGGCACCAAAGACGTTCCTGGCTCCCCTGCCCTTTCTGTGCAAGCCCAAGGCTTTCAAGTCCTCAACTGCTTTGTCAAGAAACACCCTTTCAAGGCTAATGCAAACAGCTACGGTGATGATAAGGTCGCCTCTTTAACATCAGTGGAACTGGCAGCTGCTGCAGCTCATGGTGAGCCCAGATTCCAGACTCAGGCCCCAGGACAAAGAGAAGAGATTTGCATAGAGGCTGCTCCCTGGGCTAAGAGACCCCCCCACAGCTCACAGCACCAGGGACTCCCTGGCGGGCCATCTGCACTCAGACTCCGATGTTCAAAGCTGCAGAGGAAAGAGCATTGCTGATGGCAGGGAGCTAACGGGCCATGAGCTCCGACCTTAGGTCCCGAGGGGTGACGTTGGTTCCCAGCCGGCGGGGTCATCCTGAGGGAGGGAGGAGAGCCGGTGAGCTCTCCTGCCACCCAGAATCTCTGCCCGTGTCCTGGACGCTAGGCTGCTTTACACCCACGGACCCACGCAGCTACACAGGGCCCAGGGAACGCATTCGAACCCTAGCTCCCAGGCAGCTTCTCGGGGAGGGAGAGGGCACGAGAGACCCCAAACAAGCTTTTAGCAGAGACAGAGTGTCCAGGACGACCGTGACCAAGGTCACGGCCATCGCCCCCTTGATGTTAAGATGATCACTGGCCCACGGTCCCCTCAGTGTGGCCAGAGTGCAGGCTAAGAAGCTGAAAACTCCAGCTCTTGGGTGGGGGAAACTCTGGTTTTTTTTTTCTTTTTCCTTTTTATCGGTACCAGGGATCGAACTCACGACTGCCTGCTTGCAAGGCAGGCGCTTATGCCGCTGAGCTAAATCCCCAGCCTAAACTCCGATTTTGTATTTTGGCAACTTCACACAGCAGCATTAAGGCTTTTCTATTAACAGCGGTCAATAAACCAGCCAGCCCTCTCCCCAAGGCAGAGACCAGTGGCCCTGCCCTGCTGCCCCCAGGCCCAGAAGCTGGTAGCCCTCACCGTGGCCACAGTGGTCACCACCCTGCTCCACAGGCTGGGCTGCCCAGAGAGGGGTGATGCTTGGCTTTAGTGACAGCTGAGCTAAGTGAAGGCTGGGGTTGGCACCCCAGGAGTGGATGGGTCCTCATGCTGGGCGAGTCTCCCAGCCAGGGAGGAAAGGGGACTTCAAGGATGGCAGGAGTCTAACACCTGGGGTGTGCAGCCGGCTTGGCCTCGGGGCTTTCCTGGCTTCTTCAAAAGCCCTCATCCCAACACACGCTGGAAATGAACGAGACTGCTTTGATGCTGAGAGCCCACTGAGGCCCGGATCTGATCCACTCAGGGACCACCGCACCCCTAGCACCAGGCTGAGTTTGTGCTTCAGAAACACGCCTATGGTGACCACATGGCACACTCAGCCTGCATCCCGCACGTAACACAGCCCTGAGGACAGTCACCGCACCCAGAGGACACCGATCTGACTTCCTGCTTCACGCCCAGATCTCCGCTGCGTGCCTTGGGTCTCAGCTAGGAGCTCAGGCTTGGGCTTGCGGCTGTGGGACACACCTCACTCTCAACCTATCTCCACTGCTCCCTTCTCTCCATCCAGGAAAGGGGACAATGACAGCAGCGCCCCCTACAGGATGCTCCTGAGAACTACGGCACACAGGCCTTAGCGCAGTACCCACCCTCTCCTCACATCACCCTTGTTCCCAGCCAGCCTTTCAGAGGCCGAGGGAAGCAGGTGGGGAGTCCTAGCTCTATGAGACACAGGCCCGGGCCATCCTTCCCCTCCCTCAGCCAGCGCCAGAGCTCTGCGCCCAGGGGACTGCGGCCCTGGAGGCACCTTGTACTTCTCAAGCGCCCAGGCCACCCTGCTGGGCACGGGTCCAGGGAGACACAACACTGCCTAGTGCCAGGTGATGAAGCCAAAAGTACTTCTGCTCCTCGCCCCAAGTGGGCAGACACAAGGGGCGGAGGAAAATACGGTGCTGTGAAGCCCTAACAGACATTTGCCAAGCAAATCACCAGGACCAGAAGGAGAGAGAAGAATAAGACAGGGGACACAGCTGGCCCAGAGCGGGGGACCTGCAGTGGGGGGACTTCGAGCAAGGGAGGCTGGAGGGGGCGACAGAGGCAGGGGACGCTTATCCCTCTGTGGTGAGCACAGGCAAACCCAGTCCTGCATCACCACAGGGGGCCTTCTTACAATCCGGCCACAGAACGCACCCACCCTCCCTCACCCACCCTCCCTCTCCTGCGGGCCAGGCTGGCGGGGGGGCGGAGACTGTTATCAGCGGCCAGCAGCTTTGCAGAGCTACCCCCACGAGGAGCCCTTTATCTGGAGGTGAGGGTCCCGGTTGTGGGGAGATAAAACCCGCCATCCCCTCCCTGGAGGCCGGCAGAGAACAGGAGGAGGCAACGGCCAAGGAGAAGCTCCGCCCCCTTCTGCAGAGCCTGTGCTGATCTGTGAGCCACCTCCAGGCCTCCTGCCAAGGGGAGTGGGGATCAGGGGACACCCGGGGACATGTGGGGGGCAGGGGTGGGCAGGAGCAGGCAAGCAGGAATGCTCAGGGGACCAGGGACAGGGAAGGGGCTGCACAGGAGGGATGCATCAGAATGGGACAAACAGGGCCAAAGCGGGCTGTCCTATCAGCCTGGGAATCCATGGAAGAAGCAGAGGGGGCTGGGCAGGGCCTGTCACAGGCGCAGACCTGCACAACTTCCGGGGCCAAACCGGCAGGCAGCTGTGCCCTTCTTGCAGCCAGGGGGCCTTCTGAACAATGGGGACCGATCAATGAAGCTCGGACCTAGGGACGTGGGGGCTGGGTACAGGCAGCACTCTGGCTCCAGACCCAGAGTCCCTGGCCCTGAGACTCAGGGCCTGTCTGCATCCAAGGCCACCTCTGAGGCTACTTGTCACCAGCCCAGCAAGTCCTGGGAAGAAGGTCTGTGTCATGTTCCTTTGTCACCTGCCCCCAGTGGGGGGCACCAAGTCCCAGACAGAGTTACGGACATGTACACTGACAGCCACTGATCTAGCTCCCAGCCGGAGGCAGGAGAGGGGCTGTGCACAGAGCGCCCCACACCCTCGTAGGGGCCTCCGGGAGCCGTGTGGCCAGTGCCCCATGTTAGACAGAAACAGCCTCAGAGAAGGGAGAGGCCCGGCCAGGTACAGCCCCAGGGTCAGGGCCAGCCATGCCTCAGCCCCACAGAATGAAGCCTTGCTGCTCCCGCTGTGGGGACAGCACCACTGCCCTGTGAGTCCCTGCCAGGTGCTGTGCTCAGCAAGTTTGGGCGGGGGACATTCAAGTGCAAACTGAAGACACCAGGCCACCGCAGGCAGTGAAGTGTGTTAAACCAAACCGAGGGGGCTTCTGTTACGGGGACTGACAGTGCGGCTGCACCGTGCGTGCTCTGAGGCTGGCTGTCAGACCTCCCGAGAGCCAGGAGGAGCCGAGACGCACAGACAGGAGTGACGGGTGTGACCAGCCCCACTGTCTGACGTCTGACGAGAGAGGCGCTTATCTTACTCCATTTGGGGAGCTACCTGACAACTGGGGCCGTGTGGGGTGCGAGAGGGGGTCCCCAACAGGGAAGACGACAGACTGCCCCCACCTGCAGAGTTCACGGCTGGTTTTAAAACAAATGCAACAAACATTGGGAGAAATGCATGTGGCGACCGGAGTCCCAGGAGAACACAGCACAGTAAGCAGAGGGTCCCCAGGATAGGACAAGCGTGTACAGCGGCCACATGGCAAACCAGCCACAGCAGGGAGGAAGAGGCCCCGTCAGCTTGTCCTCAGCACCCAGAACCCAGGCCATGCTTTGCACTTGCAACAACTCACTCTGGGCCACAGAGGCTCACAGAACCCAGAACCAAGGTGGCTGGGCGCTTGGGGTTGGGGTCGCTGAGGAACAAACCAGGACCACACAGAAAATTTCCCTGCAGCAGGCAGGTTTGAAAGGAACCTTCACCCGAACTGTGGCCCAAGCCGACTCATAACCGGGGCTCAGGAAGGCCCTGAGGCTTCTTCTAAGCATCACTACCCTGACGCCCGGGACACTCTGGGTTATGAAAGGGCAAAGCGACCCAGGAGTGCCACTTCCTTTGGAACAAGGCTTCCAGACCGGGGCTCCCAGCACCTGGTGCCAGCTGGGCCGGTCCCGAGACCCGCAAGGAAACGCGATGCAAGCGGTGCAGACGGAACGGAGGCTCCCTCCTGGTTTGGATCTCACACCTCGCCATTTTGCTTCTCCACCATCTGTTTTTTGCCGTAAGAACGTTCTTTCTCGATGTTCTTTTTTAGAAATACGTGAGAACGGTGGAGATGGCAGGCACACTCCCTACTCTAGGGAACCCTGCTGGGGAGTGTTTGTGGGGGGCTGAAACTGCCTTCCACAGCCCTCGAAACTGTCCTCAAAGTCTGATTCCTTGAAGTCTCTGACGCTGAGACTTGGTCACGGTCCCAGACTTGGTGGCTCTCTCTTGGTGTCATCTGGACCGCAGGGGTTTTGGGTTCCTCCAGTGGCCAGGGCACTGACACCTGCCGGATGAGGAACGCCCGGCCTCTGCACAACAGGCCCGACAAGCAGGAAGCTTTCTGCCTCAAGCGCTCTGCTCTTTCCTTTCCTTTCCTGCCCCTGCAGCCGCTGGACCAAGGGGCGCTGTGCACCAAGGTCGCTGGTGAGGAACTTCACCTGCCCTCACCTTCTGAGAGGTGGTTTCCATTTGCTCTGCCCTGAATCCCTATTAACAGGTTCTGGGTTTTCTTTCTCACAATATTCAACTGACAAACGAAAAGCCGGCTACCTGATGTAGCACTCGTAATTCTGATGTTCTAATACACCATGAGACTCAGACCCGAGGGCTGGACTGGGGGCCTGAGGAAAGCGTCATGCGTCCCCTCGCATCCCTCTGCACTCTGAGCTCGGACTCTGCTCTTACCGGCTTCGGGCTCCTCCTCGTCTTCTCCTGTAGGCTGTGTTGCTGCTTTCTGGGGCACTTTCTCCTGTGGGGCAGTGCTGGAAAAGATGCCGATGGGGGCCCACTCCAGGTAAAGAGGCACGTGGTGGAACTGTGGAGAGAGGGTGCCCACACAGTGGTCCTCACCGTAGCACCGGCTGTGGGGGGACTCAGCTCATGCACAGACAAAGAGCCCGGGGTCGGACGCTGCTCGGACTCACTGGGCGTGGAGCACAACCTAGAACTTGCAGGCTGCCACAGCCTGAGAATGCCCAGGGCCTGGGCTGCATCATGGGGTACAAGGCAGAGACCCAATGTGTGCACATGTAAAGGCTGAAAGAGATCCTCGTAACGGCAGCCTCAGGAGGCAACGGGCAGTGGCAGGACGGGGGTGCAGCAAGATAAGCCTTTGAGAACCCTCAAAGGCCACCCTATGTCTACACTTGGCCTCACGAGTCCATTAGGTTAAGAACACACACCAGCATGGGAGTGAGACAGGCTGGGGCTCTCAGCGCTGGTCGCACCACTCTGTGGCTACATGGCTGGGGGTCTCTGAGCCTCAGTCTGTCCACGTGGAAAACAGGGACTGCAATGCCAATGGGAGGGGCCATGGGACAGACACCATCAAAAATAAAGAGGGGCCAGTCCACTCTGTGCCCTTGACCTGCTGCTCACGCTGCGAGAGTGTTTAAGGGGGCTGTGTTTCCTCCCCAGGTAGGTAGCAAAGGGCCAAAGGGGGGGCGTCCCCAATCATAACTGCTGTGTGTCAGGCACCAACCACCTCCTTAGAGCTTCGTGGTCCCGAGCCCCAATCTGGGGACTGTCACAGTGCTGGAACACCAGAGGACAGGACTTAATCTCCTCCTGCAACATGGGGACATGATCTACAGATCACGGGCAATGAGATTGGCACAGCACTGCACTGCCTGACACACAGAAACTCTAGATGGTGGACGCTGGCCCTCCAAAGACACAGCCACCTCTTGACCCCCGGCACCTACGAATGTGACCTTAATTTGCAGAAGCCATTAAGGGAAAGATCCCTAGATGAAATCAAGGGTGGGCTGCAAATCCTGTCTCCTTGTAAGGAAAATCCAGGGGGATGCTTGAGCCCCAGAAGAAAGAGGGACTGCGGGGAGGGGAGGCGAAGCCTGCAAGGATGTAACAGGCTAATGCCACCAGGAGCAGGAAAAGGCGGGGAGGTCTGTCCCCAGAGTCTCTGGGGACACCTGGCCCTGCTGATGCTATGGTGTGGGACTTCCGGCTGCCAGCATGGGGGAGAATGTGCATCTCTTGCTGGAAGCCATTGAGCTTAGGGTGATCTGTTACAGCAGGCTGGAAGCTAATCTGCTGTTCTTCTCCCTTTGTGTCTGGGAATAAGGACACAGGCCCCGGCACAGTGCTGCCTTTTGTCTCTTGGCAGGTTCAGGGCATCAAGAACAGCATCAAGGTAGCACCGGAATGAGAAGCCCAGGAAGGCCTGAGTTGGCATGGGGGGAACCATGCACACCTCCTGGAGGTGCTCGGGATCAGGGTGACACTCGGAATCCCGCAGAGGGGACCACTCTGGCCGAGCTCCCTGGGCCTGGAGCAGCCCTCGGCTCTTGTGCACCCCTCACCAAGCCCCGGCAGCCCTACCTTGGAATAGGCCAGGTGTCTGAAGGCCTTGCGGGCCTCCAGGGGCTCCAGGAACTCCACGATGGCGGTGATGCCACCTTCAGGCAGCAGCACTCGGCCCAGGCTGCCAAAACGGCTGAAAGTCTCCTGCAGCTCGGCGGCCAGGGTGCCTGCTGGGAGGTTCTTGGCCAAAATCACCGTCTTGCTTCGCTCTGCTGCGGCCTGTAGAGGTGGCAGATGGCGGGGGACACGGTCACGCGTAGGATACAGGAGGGGCTCCTCAGCATAACACCAGCACAGATCTGTGGTGCTCTGGGATGAGGGGCTCTGTCCGGGACCCCAGTGGCCAGGTCCCTGGGAAGCAGAGCCAGAGGCCCCTCTTGTTCCATGGATGAGGGGCTGCTCTCAGGGGGCTGAGGCCCAGGCTTCGTGGCTTCCGAGTCCAATGCCAGCCCCTGCCTGTGAGTCACAGATACTGACAGAACCCAAGCACAGTGCCCAGAGCTCCTTCCCTACCGCCTGCTGCTGAGGCCATGGGGGACAGGAAGGACCCAGGAGCCCACACCCTCAGGCGGCCTGTGAGTTGGGGTGCCCCTCTCCTTTGGGTGGGACACTCATGTGAAGCAAGCCTGCAGGTTCCCGTGCAGCGGTGGCCTGCTAGGGGCAGCGAGGACCCACCTGGCTGAAGGAGTCCAGGCAGACCCCGTTGTCCAGCAGGAAGCGCCGCACTTCCTGGACCAGCTGCGTCTCCCCCAGGGCCACACGCACGGCCACGCTGCCCTTGGTCTCCTGTGGGAGGGAAAGGAAGATGCCTACTGCCTGTCGGGTAGTTGACGTTCTTGCTTCCTCGACCAGCGGCTGAGGAGGCGGCACGGGAGAAATGGGCTCTGTCGGTGCTGCCGTGGCTCTGGCCCCTGACGTCACATACCGTACATCCGGGACTTCACAGCCCTCAGATTCCCCTTCCCGCACTGCCCCGTGCCCACTTCTACCTTCTGGGCAGGAGGGTCTCTGCTGCTCCTACCCACCCAGCTTGCTGTCCCCTCACTCGTGACACTAGTCTCTTGTCCCATTTCTGCTTCCCTGTCACCCTGCTGCCTGCCCCTGCTGTTGCAGCCCACACTGCCTCAGGCTTTACTGTCCCTCACGCTGGTCACGGCTAGGGTCATCCTCCGCTAGAAGGCGCCGGGTGGGGGACCCTCTCAGTTCCCAGCACTGCTGAGCTCCGGGCTCAGCAGGGACCTGAGCCCCAGCCACGACTCAGGTCCTTCTCCAGACTCAGGCCAGGCTGCGAAGCCCTGACCAGTGGCCATGAGCCCCAGAGCCACGGTGTGCTGGAAATGGGTCACAGTCAGCTCAGGACTGTGCCGAGTCTAAGAGACACTGGATTTAGTCAGGAGAAAAGGATGAAAAATATCCTGTAACTTCCTTAGCACTGCCCCTATGTTGATGTAATACACTGGACATGCTCAGTAAAATGTATTAAAATTATCTGTAACTTTGCCTGTCTGTGCAATGTGGCTGCATTTACAGTCACAGAGGTGGCATGGGCTGTCCTTCTCTGACAGCACTGACCTCGGCGGCCTGTAGAAGAGGGTTAAAGACAATGGAGGCTAAAACTAAGAGGCACCTCCATGTTGCCTCTGTCCCCTGGTAGGGGACACCCCAGTTTGGTCTAAGAGTCACTCAGCTGATGTCTAATTGTGGACATACGGCATGCACAAGCCCACAAGGACACGCCCAAGTCCCCACTCACGTGGTCGAACACTTGGCTCTTGGTGGCGCTGTACTTCTGTGCGATGGCGTCTGCCACGGCGTTCGGCCCCATGAACAGCGTGTTCCAGTTGTGGGAGCTGCGAGGTGGAGGCGAGGCGCAGTCAGGGTACAGGGGAAGCAAGTGCTGCAGCCTGGGGTCTGCCTTCTGGGGCCCCCCGCCACAGCCCACCTGTCACGGGCTCAGCACAGCTGTCTGAGACCCGGACAGGCGGGGACACCAGCAAGTGCTCAAGTGTCACCACTGCCTCTGGGCTGGGCACATGTCACACAGCACCGTACAACCAAGGCACCGCACTGCCGGCCCCGCTTTGCAGATGAAGAAACCGGGGCTGGGGGGCTCCGGACTGCACCCATTGCAAAGTGAGAGGGTGCGGGCGGCCTGGCCAGGCAGGAGCGAGGGCTGAGGGGCTCAGAAGCCACTGCTAGCTGCTGGGGACCTGGAGCTGTTGGCTTTGTCCTTGGCGTCCTTCTTCTTCTTATAAGACGACCCCGGGGCACCGGCCTCCTCCCCAGCCTCCTTCTTGATGGTGGACGGCAGCACGTGCAGCATCCTGCCCTGTGGGGGGCGGGGTGGGGGGGATGAGCTTCAAGGACCCCCTTCAAGGACGCCAGCGGCCAGCAGAGGACACCGCGTTCGCTTGGCAGAAGCTGGGGCTGAAGGACAAGGACACCAGGCAGGGTGGCCGCTCCGTCCATCTGAGCTGATGCAGACGGGCAGCCCCTGCCTGAGAGGGCCACACGAGGCCTGGTGACCAGGGAGAAAGAAAGAAGGGGCCGAGCGCAAGGAGGCAGCCTGGGGAGCGGGGCGAGCTCAGCGCTCCTTCTCTGCACGGCAGCGCTTTTCTTACTCCACAGGACTGAACACTGAACTCAGGGCCTTCACACTGAGTCACACCCCCAACCACCGGCCCCCACTTTTAAAAATTTTCAGACAAGGTCTCGCTAAACTGCTCAGGCTGGGCTCAAACCTGACGATCCACCTGCCTCGGCCTTCCAGGATTCTAGGGCTACAGGCACACACCACCAAGCCTGGCAGACCCCTCTGGGTTCACTCCCCTGCTGAGGAGGTTTTACTGGCAGCAAGGGCACATTTATTCATTTTACAAATGCTCTGGGCCCACCCTGTGCCAAGTGCTGTTCCAGGTGCTACAGATCAGTGAGGGGAACAGACCAGGGCCCTTTCTCTGCAGAGAGCCCTGTCACAGCTCTTCCAAGGTCACAGCCTACCAGGTCATCTCCAGGTCTTAGGCACAAAATACAGACCCATGCACCCATGTGCACACACCGACAGCCTCCCACCCCCAGAGCCCCTCACCTGGAACACCTGCCCGTCCACTTCCGCATAGGCCTTCACAGCGTGCTCGGGGAACAGGAAGGTGACGAAGGCGAAGCCCTTGGGCTTCTTGGTCAGGGTGTCGATGGGGTAGTGAAGCTCCGATAGGGGACCTGAGGACAGGAGACAGGTCGGTCCCTTGTGAGTCACGGTGACCCATAGGAGTGTGGGACAACTGCTCTGGGTAACTGCGACTGCTTGGCCCAGGGTGACCAAATCTAGGTCAAGGGTGTCACCTGACGCTCCCTACTGTCTGTCCAAAGTGGAGGGTGAGGTGCCCACACTGCACGGTGGCTGCACGGGGAAGTCACCGGAGTGCACAGGCATCGGCGTCTCCCTCCACTGTGGCATGAGGGCATCTGGCCTGGGTGGAGCGTGCTAGCATGTGACATGTGATGGGCCAGCACCGCCAGCACTGCTGCTGTTCAGGATCCTGTCAGTGCTAGCTGGAGGTCTGCAGAGTAGCCACGTCCCACTCTGGGTCTCCTCCTTCCCCAGTAAGACACCTCACCCCATCTCTGGACAAAGCCTCTCCGGGGAGGGTCTGCCCAGCCCTGCAGCCCAAACTGGGTCACCAGCCCACGTGAGGGAACCTGGTGAGCAGGACATCAGCTGGAGAAGCCGTCACCTTGCCTACTGTTGGGAGCCGCGTCTGTGATAGCTCGCCTTGCGCGGCGGACGTGCGGCCTGTGGTAAAGAGCAAAGCCTGAGGTAGATTACCCCTCCCATCGAATATGTTAGTTTCCTGCTTACCGCGTAAACAACCCGCTCAACAATATAGTCTGCCTGGCAACTGATGATGTTAGCCAATCAGCTTGCCTTGCTTACTTTAACATGATTGGACACTGTACCCGTATATATACCGGTGCCACCCCTGGGCGGAAGAAGAAGCCAGGTAGAAGCCCAGAAGTAAAAGCACAAAAGGAGCCGCGGAGAGCGGACCGGTAGAGGCTTTGGGGCAGACTGAAGCACAAAAGGAGCCGCGGGGAGCGGACCAGAGGAGGCTTCAGCTGGGAGAACCCAGGGCAGGCTGTACGGAGAAGGAAAATAAAAAGAAAAGGTTGTCCACTACCAGACTTTGTCGTGTGTCCTTCCTGCCGGCCGGGAGCGGACATCGACAGCCTACCAATAGGTCCCACGCAAGGCTTTCTTGTCCCCAAGCCTGGGGTCTCCTTGCCCACAGCTCAGGGTCTCTTGCCCTTCCTATGCACTCCTCTGCTCCAGGATGGCCCTGGAGCTCCTATGCAGCTTCCCTGATCCTGCAGCACCCATGCTGGCCTCCAGGTGACCATGGACTTCACAGGCAGCAGGTCCTTGTCCCCTGTTGAGCCCCCTGTTCCTTCCTTTCAATGCCCACACAGCCTGCATGACCCAGCAGAGCCACAGGCAGCCCAGTTCTTAGCTTGAGAGCAACAGGCACACATGAAACCAGCCCCTCCACTAACACTGGGCTGCTGGCTGGCACGGCAGAGGTTTCTCAGGATGCAGGTAAGGGAGACATCTCCATCCCCGCAGCCTGGCAATTCAGAGCAAAAGTGAAGAGTATGAGCTCAGAGGGCAGAAGTCGACACTGAGACTGTAGCAGCTGAGGGACAGGAGCCCCTTACGACAGATGGGACAAAGGACACGCAGGCTGGAGCCCTCTGCCTGAGGTCAGTAGCTGGGGAAAGGCCGATGGGGCTGGCCCAGGACTGTGTCAGAGCCCTCGTCATAGCCCTGAGGACCTGCTGCCAGGATGCCGTAGCCCGGGGGGTGAGGTGGGGAGTACGCCTACCGTAGGCAGAGAAGAGCTTCTCCAGGTCCTCCTCGGTGCTGGTGTAGGGCAGGTTGCGTACAAAGAGCCTCCCGGAGTCGGCCAGGTCCTCCTCCTCCTCGTTCTCCCCAAGCGTCCGGCCCTGCCAAGCTTTGCTGCTGTTCTTCGGGGGCGCCTTGGCCACAGGGGCCTGCTTCTCTCTGAACACCTCGATGTAACGCCCACCTACAAGAGGGTGGGGGTCAGGGTGAGGGGTGGGGGAGCCCTGGAATGGCAGGCACTTTGGCTTGTGAGAGCTCTTCTAACTTTCTGATGCCACATCCAAGGTGCGTGGGGGTGGAGCCTGTGCCCCAGGGACCTCACTCATCTTGTGGTACAACTCTGACCTGAGGGAGCCCATCTGGGCCATCCTGGAGCATGGGGACGCAGCCTGAGTTCTGGGGCCCGACCTCTGACATTGCTGGCTGCGCGCAGTGGGATGGGTCTTAGGCACAGCCTGACTCTGGGAAAGCACCGAACCTGCTGCTGAGCTGTCGCTGCACGCGTGTGCCTCCTTAGCTAACCTATCACTCGTGCCCACACAAAGGACCAGGTGCTCAAGGAACACCTCCCGCCCAAGTGCCCCATCTTCCTGATTGAGAACCCACACTGGGTCACCCCCAGTCCAAGGACAGATCAGAGATTGCGTCCGCCCAGCCCTAGGACTGTGCACTCGGTGTTCTGGTGACTGGACATCCTGCCCCATCAGCCCAAGCTTGCAAGCGTGCGGCCTACAACCCCTCTCGGCCAGGGCATAGCAGATACGATGCTGTTAAAGACGCCATTTCCATCTGCCTGGCCCTGCGGGAGCCTCCCCTGCTCTGCTTCCCACACACGGTGCTGCTCACTGCTCCTCGCTGCCGGCCTCCCCCTGCTGTGGCAGCTGTGGGGCAGGGACTGCAGTCCCCATGCACAGAGCTATGGCTGGCGGAGGATGCACAGCGCACCCCACGCGCATACGCTTGTGCACTCTGTGACTGCTGCGACTTGGGGCTCCTTACCCATGTATTCGCGGTTACATTTCAAGGCTTTTTTCACTTCTTCTTCGCTGCTGAAATCCACAAAGATGTACCCTGAGAGGGGACGATGGTGAAGGTGAGCTCTGCGGATCCTGGCACATTTGCGGGAGTCATGGGGACACCTGCCCTGTGCTGGGTGCAGAGTGGGGAGCCCCTGCCTCAGCCCTGACAACTGGACGACCCTCCTTTCCACTTCCTGTCTGGTCTCTCGAGGGGACACCACCGGCATCAGCACCACTGACATTGATAATGGTGTCCATGGGACTGTTCAGACCTCAGCTGAGTCCTGCACAGGGTCCATCCACTGCACAGATGTGGACGCTGAGGCTGGGTCCCCGTGCGAGCTCGGAAGCCTGGGATCTGAAGCCAGGCTCTTTCCCCTGCCTACCACTGTATATGAGTGGGTGTACAAGGTGAGGGGGAAGGCCAGTAGTCGGTCAGCCTGGGGAGCAGGCCTTGGGGCTAAGGGGGCACACAGGCCACCGGGGGCCAGACCATCCCTGAGGCACAGGCCTGCTCCTCCTCAAGCGCTGGCCTGGGAAACCTGTTACTCTGCCCAGCAGCCTCTTCCTCTCTTCCTGCCAGGGACAGCACACCCCACAGTGCTGGACTCCCACGGCCATGTGATCACAGCCCGGATGTCACTGCCCTGCTACTGTGTTTCCTGGCCTGGCCAGCAAGTAGGCTGGCGGCAAGCACCCAGTTCCCCCAGGGTCCCCACCCCAGGGCAGCCAGATCCCGGGTTCTGAGGTTGGAGTGGGGGCGGGAACACCTACCGAGGCCGCCCCTGGACTTGGCCACAATCTCAACGCCACGGTGTCTGTCTAAGGAACAGGAGAGCCTGGGGGAAGCGCAGGCTGGGGCTCGGAGACATAGGTAAAACTCTGTCACTACAGGCCAGGTAGGTGGGGTGGGGACAAGAAATCAACCACTGTCCCCAACAGTTTAATCACAATCACAGAACTGAGGACACAGTAGGAAAACAAAGGAATCAAGAAAAAAACTGCTGTCCTTGAAGCTTTCCTCACCAGGGACACAGCTCAGCGGCACAGCGCCTGCCTGGCAAGTGCCAGGTCCTGAGTTTGATTCCTAGTACCAAAAAAAGTTTTTCCTCTCAACAAGTGGCCCCAATCTGTGACAAGCACATCTGCTCCTCTAACCTGGGAGTCCCCAGTCCCTGGGCCACCGTTAGATACCAGGCTGCACAGCAGGTGGACGGCGGCGGAGGAGCCGAAGGTTTTGGCTGGGTGGAGGATTAGACTCTCACAGGGTGCAAACCGCACCCTGCACTGCCCTGCCAGGGGGCGACACTACCCTGAGTATCCTGCACCTGCCCCAGCCAGTGGGAAAACCTTAGCCATGAAACTGGTTGCCGGGTCTAAAAAGGTGGCGGATGCCTGCCCTCAACCCGACAGCCCAGGGGCCTCACCTGTCTTGTTCCCATGAGCGTTTCTCACTATTCGAATGGCCACCGGCTTCAGGGGCGCCAGGAACTCTGTAACATTTTTCTGTAAGAACATGAAAAACGTTTTCCATTATCAATCCAGGACTACAAGTGCAATCTAATAAAGAGATAGGGGGCAAAATCTCCGAGTGAGAAGAAGACTGCAAAGCATCTCATCCTTTAGAATGTGTCATCTTTCCTTTAAAATTACACGCACCTTTTCTCAAAATTACCCGGAGAACATTTTGAAAGAAATAAGTAACATACAGAAGAATGTCACCGTCAGCATTTTAAGGCACCGGTTTCCATCCTCCGAGTAGATTTTAAAATTTACGTGGGGTTCCATCTGCCTTTTCCACTTCTCATGAAACTATAAAGATCTGTTTGGACCACCACATTCCATGGTCTAAACCTGAAGTGAGAGCGTGCTCGGGTCCCTGTTTTCGTGACCACTCCCCATTTTGGACATGGGCATGACCTAAATACATTTTAAAAAAGCAAAACACATAAGGCGTGATATGCTAACAAAAACTGAAAGTGCAAATAAGGAACTAAGAGAGATCCACAATCCCAACGACCAGCTTTACACTCTTGCTTCTCACTGACTTCCTGTTAAACAAACGTTGTAAACCCATTTTCATCCATGGAGTTCACTGGTTAAGCCAGCTCAAGGCCCAGACCACTGCATGTAATTAAAATTCAAAGCACATGCACAAGAAGCCCGGCAGATCCTGAAGTTTTCACAGGAATACCACGCATGCTGAAGTCACCAAATGCTTTCAAACGGGCTCCTCATCGTGGGCGCCCACTAGCAACGGAGCATCCTTTTAATGACATGCTGGACTCCGCTGCTCCAGTAGGGCACAGTTTTGTTATGCCAGGGTTTTTTCACAGGAGCACTGCTGACTGGAGGGGTTGGCAGCTCTGTGCTGTGGGGCCAACCTGTGCACTACAGCTATCTGGCAGCATGCTGGCCTCTGCTCCCTAGATGCCCACCCCCAAAAACTGGTAACTGGAAATGTCCCCAAACACTGTCCTATGTTCCGGGGGGGCAGCTCATCCGACTGAGAAGCACAGCTAGAACCAGTTCCCCAGTGACGGAGCTTAAGGCTGCTTCCAGTGTTGTGTTTCTATGAATGAAATGACCATAAATGAAGTTATAAATGAAACAGCAACGTAAGAAGGCTGCTGCAAGCATCCGTGTGCTCAGATCTTGGCGGACCTGGTAATTCACCTGCGGGTAGGTTCCTGGCAAGGGAATAGGTCAGCACAGACCTGGGCACCCTGGTTCTGATAGCTCAAGTTGCCTCCGAAGGCTGAGTCAACAGCATGTGGAAGGTCTGAGCATCAGAGGCTAAAAATGATAGCTGTGGCCTGGCATTACCTTTGTTTATGACATCTGTTGCCTAACAAGTCTTTTTTTTTTGTGAGGGGGTACCGGGGATTGAACTCACGCTCCCAGGCAAGCACTTACGCTGCTGAGCTAAATCCCCGGCTCCGCCTAACAAGTCTTAACTGGTGTGTAACTAATTCAATCCATCTTTTTCCTTATAGCTATCAAGTTTTGCCAATTGCTTAAAAAGACACTTTTAAAGCTTGAATCCTTAATGCATCCTAAATTTGTGTTGCAAAGACAGGGGTCCACTGTTCTTTCGTTTTTCTTCACAAGAGTGGGCCAGGGGTGGAGCTCAGGGCTACAACACCTATCCGGCACGCAGGACACCCTGACTTCCATTCCTGTTTGCCAAAACAGCAAAACTTCAAAATGAAAATCCTGCAAAGGTAACTGACTTCCCCGTTACTATTTATGGAATAATCTGCCACGTCCAGTACCCAGTCAGCCCTGGCCCCTAAACCCAGCTGTTCTGACCACTGCAGCTTTACAGTGACTTCTCCTCAGCAGCAAGGGAGGGCTCCCCTGCAGCAGGCTTCTGGCTGCCCCCCACACCCCACCCGGTTCCGAGGACACCCTAAGTGTGATCGCACCAAACTTCTCCGTTCTTTCACTAGTGAGGGAAGCACTAGAATTTTTATACTCTGGGAACGCAGCCTGGCTTTCCATGCATAAGGGTTCTTAAGTCCTTCAGTGAAACTCAACATTTTCTTTGTACAGAAGCTATGAAGATTCTGTTAGAATGTCCATTAGGTCCCCTTCCACAAGCAACATTTGTAAGACTAGTGAGTTTATCTGCTTGGTTGATACAGAAATTTTTTTTCCATTGTTTTTTCTATTATTGTTTGTGAGGAGAAAATGCACAAACTTCTGAGCATTAAGTTTGCCAGCAGGCATCTAACTTACTTTCTTAAATAAATAAAACACGTGGCTTCCTGCACGGTTGGTACTGAAAGAATTGTGGCCCAAAATTCAGACAATGCTCATATAAAACCCAAGTGGCTGCACCTCAGAACTCTGAAGTACTGTACTTGTGAATACACAGATTTGTCACTATTGGAAATATTTATAAATACACAGATTAGCAAAAGAGATGAACACTGAGAGAAAAAAAGACTCACGTTTTCCCAAACCAGGAGAAATACTCTGTTTACAAACCGATGTCATCTGAATTTAAAATGTCAATTGAAACATGAGTCCACTTTTGCCTGTCATACTGGTACCACCACACCAGGCTCAGGGAAACGGCAGTCTCAGCCTTGGGTGGAAGAGGACAGATCAGATCAAGCGACAACAAGGGTGAGAGGTGATGTTTGGCGCGTTTCTTAGAAACGCACATGCCCATAGGCACCATTCACCGGGACAGGGCTCCCTGACTAGCTGGGGCATGGCCCAACTGGCACCTGGCCTGCTTCCATGCGGCCGGGAGCTGGCAGTGGCTCCGCACCTTGTCAAAACAGCTTTCAAAGAAAGAAGAAGAATGGTACAGATTACACAGCTAACAAAGACTAAACTAGTGTCTGACTTACATAAAATAGTCCACTGAGCTCTGGCTGCAAAGAAGTGCCTTTGTGTTTGTTTTTCAGACACTTTTGCTTTTTCTTTTTCAGACAGGGTCACGCTGTGTAGTCCTGCCGGCCTTGAGCTGACTTTGTAAGCAGGTCTCGAATGTGCAGCGATCCTCCTGCCTCAGCCTCCCAAGTGCTGGGATTACAGACAGGTACCACCATGCACAATTTGCATTAGGATTTGTTATAGCTAAAACCACCCCCACCTTCTACTTTATTCAGCGTAAATACGTCAAAGAAAAGGGCTAGTAAGGAACCCCAGGCTATATGAAGAATGCTGCGGCCCTGCTCAGTCAGTGCTGAAAATGTTTGCATTCATCAGGATGAGGAGAAAGAGGTTTCCCAACACCTCTTCTGAAGAAAGGGTTTTAAATACAGAAAGACATCAATGGAGCGGGGAAGGGATGCAAAAAGATGCTACATTCACACCGACTCCGCAGGATGAAGGTATGTGTTTAAACTGTACATGATAGTACAGTTTAACGGTACATGACAGTTTAAACACACACAAGGTCAAATAAATAAAAATAGACCAGGGTCCACGTTTGGGAATGAAGAAAAAACAGGTTTAAGAAGGCACCATGGGGGTGGTTGTCACCTGTGGGCACAGTGAGCCCAGCACGGCTGCCAATGGCATCTGCGGTCATCACACCTGCATCCTCAGTGCTCCCTGACTACGTCCACTCAGTGTGGGCGACGGTTAACAGCCACCCCAGCTATGGTGACTTTATATTCTTTTATTTAGCTCTATTTTCTCTGCTCTTTTAGCCCCAGATGCAACCATGGCCCCCTCTGGCCTGCTGCCTGCTTTTTGGTACCAGGAATTGAACTCAGGACCTTGCACTTGCCAGGCAGGAGCTTATGCCGCTGAGCTCAATCTCCAGCCCCTGCTGCCTTTTTTACACCCAGTTTCATGGAGCACAGCCATGCTTATTTGCTTACCCACGTCTAACTGCTCCTGTGCTGTGAGCCCAGAGTGGAGGCGGCACACAGGAGGCTGCGCTGATCATGAGGCGTTACATATTCACCAGCCACCCGTCCGGCCCCCTATGCAGAGTCTGCCCGCCCCAGGGTGGCCATGGGTGAGTGAAGCCAGTCCTCCCGCCTTGAGGCAGGTGTCTGCTTCCTGCTGATGACAACATCCTGACACGGCTGAGACGGCCAGTATCAGCCTCTCTGGCCTCTGCTTTCTCCTCGATCACATCCTCGGCTCCCCTGCTGCCCCACCCTCACCTGCTGCTCCCGCGGCTCCTACCCCCGGCTGCCGCCGAGCACATACCTCTGTGACGTTGAATGGGGCGCCCCGCAGCTTCACGGTGTAGGGCGTGGTGGGCTCCTTCTGGTTGGCTGCTTTCTCCACCTGGGGGTTGGGGGGACAAAGAGAGGGGGCTCAGTGAGTTCCTGGTGCCGAGGCAGCAGGTGGACAGGGATGTCTCAGGCCAGGAGGGCGTGTCCGATCCCAGGCTGTGGGGAGGGCCAGAGGGTCAGGAAGGAGCCCTGAGGGCACAGGGACATTGCTGCCATTGGTGTGGGGACCTCTCAGTGCCACAAGCCACATCTAGCACTTTGCAGATGCTGTGCTGCTGAATGTGGAGGGTGACCTGCACCCCTCCGCCCTGTGACTCTGGGTGACAGTCACGTGCAGCAAGCCAGGGGCAGGCTGCAGTCTGCACAGCTCTCCAGGCAGCAGGGAGCGTGGGCAAACACAAGCATGGCCCTCCTTCTGTCCCTCGGTCCTTGTTCCCAAGATGCACACGCACCTCAGCTTTCCTGACCTGAGGGCTGCCATGCCCAGGTGGGGCCCTGTGTCCCAGGCCGGCCGCCCTGCGCTCTGTCTCCTGCTGGGCTGGCATGGTGGACTCCTTCTCTTCCTCGGCCGCACTCTCATCACAGTTCACGGCTTCGTCTTCACTCTCCTCCTCCTCTGACGAGGAGGCCGAGTCAGCCCGTACCACCTTTGACTTCAGGTACTCCATGTCCGACAGCTCCTTCCGCACAGCTTCCTTGGGCCCCAGGTCCTGCTCCTCTGGAAAAGCAGCAAAGCCAGGGTCAGTGAGCTTCGCCAGCAAACCAGGGCAGCAGAAGACAGGTGGCCTCAGTGCCCCACCCAGGATGACCAGCGCCCCTGAGCCCAAGACTGCAATAAACCAAAGCTAAGGAGCCCCAAGAGGGCAGGCACAGCTCCTGAGGTTTTGGGATTTCACGTGTCAGGCACTGAGAGTTTGTGGCCTCATCACCAACCCCATTGACCCCTTTTATGGACACTATCTGATCATTCTTTTTTTTTAAGATAGGGCCTTAAGGCTGGCTGTGAACTCACTACACAGCCTATGCTGGTCTCAAACTCACCATCCTTCTGTCTCAGCCTCCTGAATACAAGGATGCAAGCAGGTGCCACTGTGCCCAGCCAGTGCTAAAATACGTAACAGCACGCACGTGCCCAGTAACACGCTCACTCTAGGAGAAGCAGTCAGTTCCTCACACAGCCACCTACTGCTTGGGGAGTGGCGATCAAGTACGATACGCCAGTTCTAATGCCTGTCCCCACGCTGCACAGCAGGTCTCCAAACTCGTCCCTTCTACTAATTTGCTGCTTTGCATCCTCTGTGTGAGGTGCACTCTGTACAGAAGAGGGTGCTGCACACTGCCTCATGGTGCCCAGAGGGAAAGGTGGGCGGGGCCTGCACTGCTCTTGGGGAGCTCGCAGCAGTCACCTCAGCACTGCGAGCTCCTTTCCTCACTCGTCTATGCCACCAGTCTGAGATCTGGAGAAAGAAGGCTCCCACCTCTCCCTAGCCCAATGTGAGCCCCAGTTCCCCAGGCCCTGCTGGCTTTCTCTGAAGCACCTGTCACCAGACACCACCCTCAATGGGGCACGGCTCAGCCTGCTACTCCTCTCCCCTCCTCTGAACGAAGCTCAGGGGACACAGCTTCTTCTGATTTGGTCAGTGCTGTCCTTGGGCCTGAGGCAGTGTTGAGGGACCAATTGACAGGGCAGAGGTCCCTGCAGTGGGCTCACAACTCCACTGGAGGGCCCCTGAGGGCAGTGTTCCGCTGGCCCAGCACTGGTGTAGGACACAGGGGACCCCAGCCGCAGTCAGCCGGAGGGCAGGCATGGGGAGGGCTCACACCCTGGCAGGGAGCACGGGTGGCCTCACCTTCTGGCTCCGGCCCTGAGGCCTCCGCCTCCTCCTCACTCTCCTGCCCGGAGTCAGAGTCGAAGTTCAGGTAGTCGCTGGCGGGCTTGCTCTTCCCTTTAGCGGGCTCAGTGTTCAGCATGTCATTCGCCCACGTGGCCACCTGCATTCTCTTCTGGTGAACTGACAGGAACTCCTGGAACTCGGCATCTTCCTTCAGCTGCAGGCACCAGGCCGGTGTGGCAGGGACATAGAGGGACAGGAGAAGAGGCAGAGCCGGCTCAGGCGGGGGTCGCCTTCCTCGGGAGGGCAAGTGCGACCCCAGTTCAAGAGCGACCCCAAGGGCCAGAGAAGGTGGTGTGGGCCAGCCGGACAAGAAGACAAGCCACAGACTCACACTTTGTACCCCAGGGCAGCCCCACCTCCACAATGAATGGCTGCTCACCTTCTCCAGGTCACTCGGCCCCCTTTTCTTCTTGTCCTAAAAGCAAAGGCACAGATGGAGACAGTCACACAGGTGCAAGGGACCGGTCCGCCCTGCCCTGGGAGGGACCACCCAGCTGACACGGGGACAGAAATGGAGTGACATCTGCATACTTGCTTAGTTTCTGGGCCAGTGGAGTCTTGCGAAGATTTCTTGGTTTGGGTTGGTTTCTGTGCATGTTTGCTCCAGGCTCGGGGCTTTGTTGGGTCCCCAAAGGACTTGCAGAACTCCACCTGAGAGGAAAAAGGGGGTGCTTTCCACAGCTGTCATGGCATTGGGGGGGCTCAGACTTTAGAGACAGGCAGTTGCCACGAACTTGAGTCAACTGAAGCTAATTATGTGTCATCACCCCAACTCTGGCTGTGTCCCCTGGAAAGTCATTTTAAGTCACTTTTTAGGAACCCATGCATGGTCTCTGTGGCCCAGGCTCTGTGAGTGTCGGTACATGGCTTCCCAGTGTGGGGAGGGGCTCCCCTGCCAATCCCAGACCAGGAAACCGAAGCACAGAGACGGACAGCAGCTTGTCTCGGGTGATCCAGGGTGGACACTGGAACCTTGGGTGTCTCAGGAAAAGGGTGACCAAGTTTCTGAGCGGATCCATGCCAAAGGACAGCTGTGATAAGACCTCGGCCATGTGCATGGCCAGGGGCAATGCAGGCCGGGGCTCTCAGATTAATCACCGTGATACGAGCTCACTGGCCCCAGAGAACAGCTCAAGAGGACAGGGAAAGCGGGGTAACCCTGGAGGGGCAGGAAGAGCACTAAGTATGAAGCCCTCATACCTCTTGGGCCCTAACCCTCAAATGCACCCTCAAAGGCGACCTGTGGGACCACTGGTCCTATTGGGAGAGCTGGGAGTCCACAGTGGGCAGTGCCACCTCAGCCACTCTGAGTGACACCCAAGGCTGATGCTGGCTGGCCAACCATTCTCCCAGGGAGAGAGACTGCCACTTAGCTGGAGTCCTCTCGTGGGGCCTTTGCATGTGATTGTAATGATGAGATGCGTTTGTGGCTCACAGTTCACACAGTGGAAGAGTACAGTGGGAATTTCTAGAAAATCTGGTCCTGTCACCTAGAGGGGCCCTGTAACTTGGTGAAAATCCATCCCAGCAGCAGGCCCTCCACACAGATGCCACACGGAGACGGAGGGACGTGCTGGTGCTAAATGCAGTCATGACACATACTTGCCCCTCTCTGGTTTTTGTCCTTGTCAACAAAGTGCGAGGGCTGCTTTACCGTGTCATTAAATGCAGGAGTGATCCGAGTGGAATGTCCTCCCTCAGGATGCCCACCCCCAAACAGAGAGGGGCACCTGTTCCTCCCCAGTCCCTGGTGCCCGCCCTGCCACAGCACTGCCAGCACGGGATGCCGGAAGCTTAAGGGTCCACAGCTGTGCTGACCTTGCCTGACTGTTGGAGACACGCGTGTTTTCAGGCCCCACCTCCGTGTGCTGATTCAGTAACCCCAGAGACGCAGCCAGCAACAGCTCTAACATCACATGGGGAATCTCCCGCACAGGAAGGCACGTGACTCCGCAGTGTGACAAAGACAGAGTCAGGAGCAAATGCCAAAGGACTGATCACCGGCATCACTGGACAGGTAATGAGGGCGAGACCCCTGCTGCCCAGACTCACCGTGACGCGGGCTGTGTCGATGAAGCTCTTGTGGAAGTGGCTCAGCGCCCTCTGGGCCTCCGCCTCCGACTTGAAGCCGATGAAGCCGAACTTGCGGAACTGGCCGTCCTTGGTGAACTTCAGGCTGCAGTCGGTCAGCGTCCCGAAGGCGGCGAACAGCTGCCGGAAGCGCTCCTCCTTCATCTGCAACCGAGGGGACGCCACAAGGGGGGAGCTGGGGAATCCCCAGCGCAAAAGGACAAATGGGCTCAGGCCCAGAGGCCCCAGACACCCCAAGGGTGAGCTGGGATGAGGAGGGGGCGTCGCTAGCTTTTCCGGGGTGACTGTTAATCCTGTTACCTCAACTTCATTGGATTAGGAAACGCCTAGCGGGTTAGCAAAGCATGCTCTGGGGGTGTCACAGAGGTGTGAGCTTGGTACCCTGTCAGTCCCTGTCTACTCCTCTCTGGTGCTGCTGCCTGGCTCTGCTTCCCGGCCGTAATGAATACAACAGCTTTGCTCTGTTAGGTCCCACAGCCATCTTAAGCCAAGCGACCAGGGACTAAATATCCTGAAACTGCAAGCTCAATCACACCTTTCCTCCTTTAAATTAGTGGATATTATGTGTCAGTTACAGGGAAGCTGATCTGTGCGGCCAGGTCCCAGCAATCACCTAACACTTCCTGACTATGCCCGAGGGCAGGCTCCCACCTTCCACTGCTGAGGAAAGAAACAAGCTCTGAGAATGCTACTTTCCTGCCTTCCAGGCTGCTTTGAGGCTTAGATCAATTGCACAATCAGCACTGTGGTTGCCACACAGCAGACTCCTAATATAAACTTGTCAGAATAAACAAATCAGATTATGAAGAGCTATGTAAGAGTCTGCCAATGGGAGCCCTGGAAAGATGTCACCATCCTAATCCCTGGAACCTGTGGTTAACGTCGTATGACATGGCAAGAGATTCTGCAGATCTGATGGAGAATTGGGAGGGGGTGATCTTGGATTTTCAGGTGATACTAATGCCATCAGAAGAGCCCTAGAAAACGAAGGAAGGAGGGTCAGGCTGAGAGAGAGATATAAGGGTGAAAATGAAGGGCAAGGATCAGGAGGTACTATGTCACTGGCTTTGAAGGCTGAAGGTGAAGGATGGGGCTGAGCCCAGGAGAGCGGGTACCTCCAGAAGCTGAAAAAGTAAAGGAACAGATTCTTCCTGGCAGCTTCCAAAAGGACTGCAGCTCGCCCAAACCTTGATTTTAGGGTGCTGACCTCCAAAATGATAGGAACACATTTGTATTATTTAAACTGCAAAGTTTATGGTAATTTGCTAGGCAGCAGTGGGCAAGTGACACCCTGACACTGTTACAATGTGAGCAGGGCAGAGCTGGTTCCCACTTCCCCATCATAACACCCGCAGGGCCACCTTACAATCCCGAGGGTTTTCCAAGCAGAGAGACTGCGTGTGTGCAAGTAGGTTGAGGGGACACTCAGACCCACCAACAGCCAAAAATGAGTCTCAAAACACAAGGACCTACAGGCATTGGCAACCCGATAGGAAGAAATTCTCTAGGCCACTTCTTCACCCTGATCTCATCAAAATCTCGCAATTGCTGAGTTATGAATTTTTATACCTCTTTTCATAGAGGAGGACATGGAATACTCAGATGATAAACAAATGATCTGCCCAAGGGCTACCCAATCAAGGGCCATGGCTCAGCTCAGATGTATGAAAGACAGCAACTTCAGCTGGCTGTGGTGGCACGCGCCTGTGATTCCAGTGGAGGCTGAGGTAGGAGGATCACAAGTTCAAACCCATCCTAGGCAATGTGATTTCTGTCTTGAAATTAAAAACCAAGTGGAGGATGGTAGCACCTGCCTATAATGCTTTAGAAGGCTGAGGCAGGAGGCTTACATGTTCGAACCCACTGTGGGCAATTTAATTAAAAAAATAAATAAATACATAAATAAGAAAAGAGAAGAAAGTTCTGGGGGTACAGCTTATTGTGAGGTCCTGGGTTCAACACTGGTACTGCAATAAATAAATAAATAAGGGCTGGGAGGCCAGGTATGGTGCCTCAAGGGCTGGGAGGCCGGGTATGCTGGCACATGCCTGTGATCCCAGCATATGGGATGCTGAGGCAGGTGGATTGCTTTGGGCTTGAGGCCAGCCAGAGCCACAAAGCGAGTTCAATGCCAGTGCTGATTGTGCATTGAACTGCACAGTGGGAACCCTATCTCTAAACAAAAAGGCTGATCCTATCATTCCTCTACTAGAAACTTCTGAGAGACCTCCTAACTCCTCACGCTCAGTCCATCACCTCCCCAGGAAGCCTTTCCTAGAGCCCTGGGGTGAGCCAGGTAACCCAGGACTGCTGTGTTCCCCGTGCACACGGTTCACACTTCAATCCCTACACCTTGGTCTGGTGTCTGTGTCTTCCCCGCCGACCCTGCAAGCTCCAGGAAAACAGGAACCAGGGTTTGTCCACCTCTATCCACAACGTCAGCAACACCACAAGTCCTCACCACTAACTTTTTCACCTGCTGGAAAATAAGAAAAGTTCCTGCAAGCATACTAAGAAAGACAGTAGGCACAGTAGCCAGGAATGCAAACTCAAGGACCAGATGACTCTATCCGGTCCCTGCCAGACAAATTACCAAACATGTCTCTGCAGGCAACTCAGTTCATCTTCAATTCCTCTACCTTTAAAATGGTCAGTGTTAAGGTAGGGATTATTTAAATTATTCTATTTAAGGCACCTGGTTCAGTGTAGCTAAACAGAAACCTTTCCAAGGGCTAGCTACTACTGTTTATGTTTTTGTTATTAATGGTTTCATTCGTTGGACAGGACAAACAATGTAAAGAGTGAGCTACACCGAGCTGCACAAGGAGACGGAAACTGGGAGTGAAAAACGTGAGTCACGCTGAATTCTCATCCAAAGTGGGCCATGAAGAGGCACAGCCGACAGGTGGTGGATGGAGCAAGGATGAATATTTTAAAAATACACCACCGAGGGTGAATGATGGAAGAATTAAAACAGTAATAATACAGAGAGGGAAGGAGCAGATGATTTAAGGGCCTCATCTTTCATAGTGGAGAGTCAGCAGACAGACACGGAGCTAAGGCAGCCAAGAAATGCACAGAGACACCTACGGGGAATCCTAAAAATAGTTACTCCTGGAGGAGGATGGGGCAGGTTTTTGCTTTCCACTTTATATACTGTTATACTGTTTGAATTTTCACAATCTCTGTCATAAAGCTCTCCTATCTGACCAAGTCGGGAGAAAGAAAAACTTTCTGTTCTCTTTCTAGGGAAACAGACGGTCCTGTATATTTGTACAGAGGCAAGAGTCAGAAGACACCCCCAGCCACCAAGCCATCCAAGTGGCTCGTTATGTACATGCGGGACAAGCTTAGAGGCCACAGGAGTGGTGTGGGGCTTTCCACCCAAGCATTCTTACAGTGACATGGGAAGAAGGACCCACACCGCGACCCTGCACCGAGCATCTACATTTCTGTTTCTTCACTCAAGTATTTATCTCGCAAGTTTTTATTGAATGTCTACAGTCAGATTCTGTGGTGATCTCCAAGGAAACAGAAAGGCACGGCTCGGCCATCCTTCCCTAATTACTAGATGAACGGCACACCCGCTCAGAACTCTTCCTTCCCCTCAGGATCGATAGAGCGACACAGAACGCGCGCGACTCCGCACCGTGATACTCCCCACGTGCCAATCCAACACATCCCCCGAATGCGAGAGCAGGGCAAGGGGGCTTGGGAGCGGGGCGTGGGGCATCTCCCCCAGAAGAACCGTCAGGTTGGAGTCAGGCACCCACAAGTCAGCCGTGAGACCTTCTGCAGCCACATTCCCTGTTCCTCAGCAGTCAAATGGGGAGAAACCTGTCCTTTGGGGTTCCGGGTCTGCCCGGAGTTCCCAAAGCAAAAACCCTAACTTTCTCTCCTTGGCACACAACTCCCAGCTGGTCCTATTTTCAGATCCCAAGTCCCGGACCCTCACTCACCCCATTCGGGAGATTCTTCACGATCAGTCGCGACATGGCGAAAAGTCTCCACCGCTTTTTATCCCAGCCCCACCGGACAGCGTCTTTGGATTCCAACTTTCACGCTGCCACACTGGGCGCCGCCATTTTTAGCAAGCAGGAACAAAGTCACGTGGCTCAGACGTCGGCCCGCCTACCCGGAAGTAGGCGGGACCAGAGCCCGGGAGCGAGAGGAAGTCACGCCCCTGAGAGGCGGGCCTGAGTGCCTGAGTTCTGCGCAGGCGCAGGTTCTTCACCAGCTCCTAAAGACGCCAGTGCCTCGGCATCGTCGACAGGGGGCGCCAGTTCCCAAGAGCAGTAGGTATTTCCTGAATCCTTAACCTCCAAAATTGAGGAAAAGGCGTTTTCTTGCTTTGTCCCTATTAATTTGAATTCCAAAACAGCTCCAAGAGCAGGGGCAAGATAAGGGACACTGTGCCTTTTTAGACATAGGGTAACTGAGGCCTACAATCTGCCAGGCATCATGAATCAATCACTGAGCACGCTGCCCCAGAATCTGCCGTACAGAACAGCTCTACTCCTTCCATCTCCGAACCTTTCCAAACTCTTCCGGCAAACCATTTCCAAAGCTGCCCCCTGACTGCTTGAGGCTTAGGGGAACATCCCACTCAAACCACAACAGATGGTCCTGAAATCTCTAAGGGAAGTGCAGGCAGTGACTGCTTCTAGGGACAGGAGGAGGTGGTGAGTCTCCAGGTGGACGGGACGACATTTATATTGGGCCGCCTTTGTCATGGTGATTTTTTTTTACAATTAAATAATTACCTGTTGTTTTTAATCAGCAAAGGCTAACTCACTTTTAAATAGCATGCCTGCAGCTGCAACGTGCTCAGCCAGTGGGAGGCGTGCACATTGTGACATTGCTAAGGGGTGGGACAAAAGATAGGTGGATGAATACTTCTTTATACACTGAAGGTGAGAGTTGTCTAGGTTTTTTCCTCAAAAAGTCAGAAAATAAATATTTAAGGTTTTGTGGGTTCTGGCGCAGGTCTCTGAGACAGGAATGCTGTTTTACCATCGCAGCTCAAAAGCAGCCAGCAACAAGGTGGCTGTGCTCCAATTAACTTTATTTACAAACCAGGAAACCACCCCACAAGTGGAGCTGTAAGTGATAGATCTCGGATGGTGCGTTGATTTCCTAAGGTCACAGTAACAAAGCTTTCAAAACAGGATGACCTGAAATAATAGAAATGTATTTTCTAACAGTTCTGGAGGCCACAAATCCAAAATCGAGGTGCATTTAGGCCCATGTTCCCTTCAAAGGCTCTCTGGGGATCCCTCCTCAACTTCTGGGGACTCCAGGTGCAGCTTGGCCCCGTAGTGCTCCAGTGCCCTGTCTTCGTCCCATGGCCTCTGCCCTTCTGATGTCTCAGTCAAAATCTCCCTCTCCTGTCTCCTGGTGGGATTTGCCTTAACCTAGAGTGAGAGGGTATCATGATTCTTCATGACATCTGCAAAGCTCTTTCCCCATACAAGGGCACGTGCTGGGTATCAGGGCGTGGGCACATCATTTTGGGGCACATAAACCTGCGGCATGGGGGTCTGCTTGCTTTGTTGTGGGTCACTCTGAGGACCCGATTTCATGCTGTCCGTGTCTTTCACAGATTGTTAATACCATCAACACACACACACACACACACACACACACACACACACACACACATACACGTGTGTTCCCGAAGGTTTTGAATGTCCCCAGTTGGCTGAGGAGCCTTCTGCTCCGTTCAGATGGAAATCACGAATAGCTGGGCTGTAACTCTTAGAGTGTTAACAGCGCTGAGTTTGAATGCCAGGAGTCACCCTCTTATGTTTTCAGCCCTCTGGCACCTGCAGTCGGCCAGAGTCAGGATCTCAGGTGATCGGAGCTGTCGCTCCTGCCTTTCTCCTTCTGCTCAACATTCTCTGCCTCGAGCTCCCCTCAGTCCCATCTCCCCGGGCTGCTGCCACTTCCGGGAGCAGGAGCCTTGAGGGTTACCAGCAGCAGCTCAGCCTGCTGTAGAGATAGAGGTGACAATGCGCCCCTGGGAAGACTTTGTTAGAACTGACACGGAGGGGTAGGGGGAGACAGCACACAGACTGACCCAGTGAGGGCATGGGGAGGGGCTTCCACATGAGCAGTGTCAGCCTTTCGGCTTCATCTCTGGGCAGGGAGTCAGTCTTATGGACTTGGCTGGGGACAGCTGTGGAGGGCAGTGTCCACCTGTGAGGTGGAGTCCCAGGAGAGAGGTGGACCCAGGACCAGAGCTTGCGGGAGCCAAAGCAGATGTCTCCTGGAGTAGCCAAAGGGGACTGCTGTGGCTAGGGCCAGCTGTGGGGCCCTCGGGGAAGCTAGAGAGAACAAGAAGCACCTGTTCACCAATACACACACACACACACACACACACACACACACACACACACACACACACAAATGATAAATGCGTAACCCTGTTCTGAAGAGGACACACTGATAAAGTATTGGAACATCCTGTTGTCCCCCTAAATAAGAACACTTATGTGTCAGTTAAAAGTTTTAAAGTTTGTACCTTCAGTCCTGGAGACCACTTAGGGATCACTGTGTCAGGATCATTCATGTATTCGGCAGATATTTTTATAGATTGCTGAGTGTGGGAAGCCGCCTATGAATGGCGCCCATTTCCTGCTTCCGGGTTCTTCCCGGCCTGAACAAGCCCGCCAAATTGTCATATCTGCCCAGTTACCCGTGACGCTAGCCTATCAGCTTGTTAGGCGCGCTTCTCTGTGATTGGATACTGCTTCCCCTTATAAGAGGTTGTTCCTGCCCCCAACGGCGGAAGAGGAATCAACACCGAGGGTGGCGGACCTTGTCAGGTCCGGTTCGCTGTACGTAATAAAGTTTGAGAGCTGATCCTGCTCGAGTTTGGTCTCCTGTCTCCCGCGGCTCCGGTCATCTGGTGGCCCGCACGGGGAAGGTTCAGCGACGCGCGGGCGCGACTGCTGTAACCTGCGGTACGACGGAGAACCCGGCTCAATAACAACGGAAGGCCCCGAGCGCCTCTTCTCTTCACCCTGATCAGCTACGTGAGATACAGCGGTTCCCGGGACAGGTGAGTACTGGATCGCCTGGGTTGGGTGGACGCACCTAACAGATTTTGAGCGCCACACGGGTGGACGCCGGTCTTTTTTTTTCTTTCCCCTTGCATTTGTTTCGCTTTCGCTTCGCCATTATGGGCAACGCTGCTCGCAAACCCCTCGCTGACTCCCTAAGAGTCCTGCTGCGGACCCGAGGCATCTACATAAACCGGGTCACCCTTTCGAGGTTTCTGGATAGTGTTAATGAGATTGCCCCCTGGTTTTGGCCCACGGGCTCTCTAACCCTCCCGTCATGGGAGAAGTTAGGAGGGGATCTTAGATGCGCCCGAGAAGAGGGACGCTTGGATCCCATGGTTTTACCCCTGTGGGAACTGATTAGGGCTTGTCTGACGGATAAACAAACCCCCGGGCTTTGCTCAGCCCGACAGGCTCTTGACAAAGCTCGATCCAAGTGCTCGGAGGAGCCCGAAGTCACACCTGACTTTGGGCCTCCAGAGAAACACAAGGGTTCCGATTCTGATTCGGATTCGGAGGGCTCAGAAGAGGAGGTCGTCTTTGCTAAGCATGACCCTCCTACACCGTTAAAAAAGGAACTTAGGGCTCGGGAAGATAAAAAGGGGAACCAAACACCACCCTGCCCGAGCTACTCTGCTTCGCGGGAGGAACTTAGGCCCTTCCGCTCCTTGGCAAGCTCGCGACCCATGGTCGCCCCCTTTAGGACGCCAGGCCCTACTGCACCGCCGTGGCCGGAAGAGGAGTTGCTCCCTGGGCTGCCACCTCCACCCGTGGCCGCCGGAGGGCGCCCACAATCCATGGCACTGCCCTGGTTAGAGGGAGAGCTATTTCCTGGGTTACCTCCTGCGCCCCCTTCTGGGGGAGGAGGAGGACGTTCCTTCCACCAGAGGGTATGGTCGCGGCTTCCCTTTGAGTGTCCCAGTCTCCATGCATTCCCGGTACAAGTAGGAGGCAGGGGAGGAGGAGGATATTATGAGCCCTTAGAAATTAAACAACTTAAAGCTATCAAGGATGCAGTTTCAGCTTATGGGCCCAATGCACCATTTACCATGGCGCTTTTAGAGGCATTGGCTGGCCTGTATTTAACTCCGGGAGATTGGACCCAGCTGGCGCGTGCCTGCCTTTCCCCCGGACAGTATTTAGATTGGAAGTCTTGGAATGAGGAATTCTGCATAGAGCAGGCGGCGGCTAACCGGGAACATGGCCAAAGAGATTGGAACAGAGACATGTTATTAGGGCGAGGAGCTTTCGAGGAAGATCAGACCCAGTACCCTCGCCAGGTTTATGAACAAATCAGTCGCTGTGGCCTTCAGGCCTGGAGACGGCTGGCTGGAAAGGGAGAGCATACGGGCCACCTCACAAAAATTTTACAACAGCAGGGGGAGCCCTTCTCCGATTTCGTGGCCCGCATGCTTGAGGCCGCTAACAGAATTTTTCCAGACGCTGAGGCGGCTCACCCTCTCATAAAACAACTGATTTTCGAACAGTGCACTAAAGAGTGTCGTGATGTCCTAAGGTCCAACAAAAATAGGTCTTTAGAAGAGTGGACACGCCTGTGCCGTGAACTGGGCGGCCTGGTAACTAATCACGGGCTCGTTGCCGCCATGGTCGCTGCCCTTCAAGGCGCTGCCAACGGAGGCAAGCCTCGGGTAGGGGGCAATAGAAATAAAAATAGAAACAACACTTCTTGCTTTGGCTGTGGCCAACTAGGACACATTAAGCATAATTGCCCCAACAAACAGATCGGGCAGGGAGGAGCCCCTGGCCCTGGATTATACCCAAGATGCCAAAAAGGTAATCATTCAGCAGCCGAGTGCCGGTCGATATTCGATAAAGATGGCAATAGGCTTTCAGGACGTCCAGACAATCAGCCAAAAAACGGCCGAAGGGGGCCCCTCCTGCAGGCGGGGCCCCCTCTGGCCCAAACCTTCCTTCAGTTCCAGCCCCAGCAACCACAAACACCCCAGGTCCCTTTAGGCGGGCAACCCCAGGCTCAGCAGGGCTGGACCTCAGTGCCACCTCCGACCTCCTATTAACACCCGAGA